ATTATTTAATTATAGATCGCCCAAACTACTAGAGTAACTATATAAATAAAATATGTTTCTATTTTGAGTAATCATCTAATAGGTCTTTCACATATAACAATTATGAAGTATAAAAAGTAATACGGTCTATACTATACCCTAATTCTGTTATAAAACCAAATATGATAATTTATTTAACTATTACCTATCTATGTCGTCATTAATGAAATTAATAGTATTACTGATAATATACTATAAGTGTATTGAAATTGCAAAATAAAATAGGTAAATAAAAATAAAAATAGATAAAAGAAAGCAATGAACTGAAAGAAAAATCTTAATTCTTCTTGCAGCAATTAGAATAAGGGGTTTTCTTTGTCTAAATTTTTTTTTAATAAAAAATCTTGCCTTGATTCGCATTACAAATAAACTACTAAGTAAATTCTGATTGTAAGTTTTTTTTAAAAAAATTAAGTGGTTATAGTTAACCACTAGTTCAAGATATATTAATTTGTTTTTAAATTAATATTTTTTTAAGCATGTAAAATGGACAGTAAAAGCGAACATACCTCTGACATTAATCATCCCGATAACAATGAACCTTATAAAACTACTGAGGATTCTGTTAAAGAATCAAGTGTAAAAAAAATTTGAATAAGGTTCACTCAAACTAAAAAAAAATCAGGTCCACCTAGTAAAAGACCCAGAACTAGTTATGTCTGAAAATATTTTAAACCTAAAGACAAGCAAGATATATGTAAGATAATCGTAACTAGAAATCCAAACTATAACCTGGGTAACCATGAACCCGATAAGGGAGCTGACAAAAATCAGGTGATTTTCTAGGGGGGGGGGAGGTAAAAAAAATTAAAATTATATATAGAGAACCTGATCATGTATATATTAAAAAAGAGGGGGGGGGGGGGGGACCCCTCTGATAAAAAAAAATCAGGGGATTAATGACACTTCCCTAAGTGTAAGATTTCTTTTTGTCTTGTTGTATCATTTGGAGCAACATATAGAAAAACTATCACTATTGTAAGCTGTTTAAAGTCTAGGATTAACTTTATATAGTATGGATTGTCACAAGTAAGATGAGTGATATGGTGTTCCCAGTGTTTCTTGATTAAGATTCCAACTCCTGACTTCTTTTTCTTGTTTTCTTCTGCGCTTAACCAGAAACTTCTGTGCTTGTTTAAATTTTTAGTTGCAAAATTACTCTCAATATCTTCTATGTTGGTTTCTCCTAGCCCCAAAATGTCTATTTTCTTTTCTTTTGCATAGTCTATTACTGCTCTTAGCTTGTTTTTATTATTTTTAATACTGTTTATATTATGAAACCCTATGTTTAGCATCTTGAAATGTTCATATACCCTCTTTTGTTTCCTCAGTTCTCCATAATTTTCTGTACCTAATGGGAGTTGGTTTTCTGAAGTGTCTTCTATTAACTCTCTTTCTTTCTCTTTGAACACTTCAGTTTTGATTGTAGATACGCCCATAGCACCTTTTAGGAGCAATTTGCAAGGGGGCCCTGCTACTTTACTATGAGATATTGCATTTTGAGTTTCTAGTTTGTCTAGTCTGTTTAGGATTTGTACCAATGCACTAAGTATTGGGTCTTCTTTGTCTTTTCCCTTTGCTTCTATATCCTGTTGCTTCTTTTCTTCTTGTTGATATTGCAGATGCCTGTTCTCCTTATTTTGGTCTCTTTTAGCAAGGGTACTCTATTTGCTACTGGCCCTACATTGATACTCCTCTTTCTCTATATAGACTTTTTCTTATCACTAGGCTTTTCTGTTTCTTCTACTAATCTTGAAGCCACTTTTCCTCTCTCTCTTTTGAGTTCTTCTACTCTTGAGTTTTGACTTTCTTTTCTTAAAGTTAGATCACTTTCTTTACTGCTTTGAGATTGCTCTCATTTATTATAGTATTGGCTCTTTTTATAACTTTTTTTACTTTATTCAGCTAGTAGAGTTTGCTATTCTAGTTTCTTGTTGAAGTAATATATATTTGTTCTTTGGGCACGTAGCATGTTTTCTTCTTGATTAAAGTAAACAAATGCTCTTGTACTCTGGTTGCTATTACTATTATTTATCGTGAAGGTTGCTTATGCCTTGTATCTTCTTAACTGTTATATAAGTAGGCAGTCTAGTGCTGTTTTCGGTATATTATTAATAGTGCATCTGAACTTGTCTCTTTTGTCAAGCAAAGCTCTATCAAACTTTTTGGAGGTTGTTCTGTACATTTTTCTACCTTCTAATTGTACTGACTAATATTCCATTAATTTGTGATTTCCTTTTGTTGCATTTGATACTACTCGTATATATACTGCCTTTCTTCCTTTTGGGCTCTGTCGCTATTCAAGGATAGTTGCCTTATTGCTGTGCTTGAGATATAACCTAATTTCTCTTCCACCTATATCTCTTGATAAGTCCCATATTGTGAAGGAGTTGCTTGATTCAATTCTATTTTGTTGTGTAGCAAACTTTCCTTTAGGTGCTCATTCTGAGTTGTAGATGTCTTCTTAACTCTTCTGTTTTTTACTATTTCTCTTGTCTGGGTACTTGTTTTTGTATAACGTGTTCTTTGTGTTTTGGGTTTTCAGACCATAGTCAGATATGCCCACCTTATTTTGTAATAATATGCTTTTTATCTTCTCGAAATCATATTCAGATTGGTTCTGTCATCTTGTTCCTTGAGATTTCTTTTGTGTAGATTTTCTAAATTTTCTATCTTGATGTTATTATTATCTTTTACTATAGCATTATTGTTTTTTTCTTTTACTGTTGATGAAATACTTGTTTTTTTTATATTTATATAGCAAAAGTCCATTATAATAGGACCATCTCTGCCTTTTATACAAGTATTTATACGCATTTCAATATTGGTATCATGTTCAAGAAGTTTCTTCTCTTCTTTTGTCAAGGCCTGTTTTTTTATTTCTTTGCTTTTAGCCTATTTAAACCTTTCGATTGCGCTCTGAACTACTGCTATTAGGTAGATATCACTTGTGCCTAGGTACTTCGCCACGTGCATATCCTCGTTTCACAATGTAGTATGTTGTTTGTCATACAATTCTTTTCTTTCTCTTTTTGTTTGTTTAAAAAAACCTCTAAACATCTCTAACTCTAGTATTTTAGTCTATTTTGTATATACTTCTTGTAATTTTGCTTTGACACATAATGTATATATTATTTACATGTTTTTATATGTTTTCCTTGAAATTTTAGGCTTGTTCTATTTTGTGCAACTAAATAGTTTGTGCTACTTGAAGGATCTGCAAGACAGGGTTAACTCCAATTCCCCAATTCTATTCTGTATTAAGAAAGTTATAATTTTTAGAGTGTTGTTCTTGTGTTCTACTCTTGTATTTTGTCAGACTCTTAGGTTCTGGGCCTTGTTTTAGCTTGTCTCTATATCCTGTGTATAGTTTCTACTAATTTTGCCAGAGTAGTTTTGCTTTCTTCACAACCTCTTTATTTCTGCACGTTTGTTAGAGAAGTGTTTTTTCCTAGTTCTGGGTCTTTTTAATATCGCTTTTGCCCAAATATTTTGTATACTAGCTGGTGCTTGGTTCTTTTCTTTATTTCTTGTAATAAAGTTGCCAGTTGCACCTTTTTTTGTCTTGTTTTGTACTTTATTCTTCTGCAAATTTTTGTGCCAAGTGATTGTTGGGAAGAGTGATTGATTTAATTGATGATTGTTTACTAACATGATTTTATTAATTTATTATACATATTCTACATATAAATTTTGGGTTTAAATAATTTTACTAAAAAACTTTTATGTTGTTATTTAATAGCATCGCATCCCACATGCGATAAATATTTATTTCACCGGGCGTGATGCCTAATTAAGTCCTATAAATTAATACAAATTAAAGCAAATTTAGATTGATTATGTAAATTAAACCAAATTCTAAGGGTAAAATTCACGTGATATTCAATAAATTTGATTGGCTAATAATTCCGGATAGTGCGCATTATCCGACAGGTATTATGTAACAAATTCTTATTAATTTTAATGCGTCATACCTGCCAGATAACAAGAACTAAGGTTCCGGAAATTTCCGAAAGAGAAAATGAATGAACATAAAAGACGAGCAAGGTTAGAAGTAAATTTCTGATGTTTTTCAAAAAAGAAATCAAAAAATCACAAATTAATATAAAAATAATTTCTTATTGCAAATTAATACAAATTTTTGCAATAATGCAAATATAACGCAAATAAATTTTTACAGGTCTCTGCAAGGAACCCAGTGATTTCCTCGTGCTCATCACATGACATGGATAACCGCTCGGCCTAAGTTAGAGTTAGTGTTAGGGTTAGGTGATAGTATAGTTTAGGCCAATTCGTTAGTGCTGGTAAAAAAAATGATATCATTACATTATTTCACGTGATGGAATAATCCTTGTTCTTTTATTTTTTTACATGGTATCAAATTTAAAATTCGAATCTTTGTTGCATAATGTATATAGACCGATTTGAACAAATATTAAATTTGTTGCTTTTTTTTTATTTCAGTATTTTGTACAGCAAATTTATATTAGATGTCGAATGTGGATCAGAAATTTGAATGATGGAAATGTTCACTATAAAGTTTTATGGACCCGACGTTCGATCTGCGTTTCCAGAAAGTACTTATCCTAAAAATTGTGAATTCTCAATTTGCTACGTGCTCAAAGGTTTGATATTTTGATTATGTTTATCAATGTACTCTATTGGGTTCCACTCCTGAGAAAAGAATGGGAGCCATTAATATCTGAACTTGCTAAGCGTACTGCAATTAATGGTTTATAAATTTTGATATTATTAGTCATTATTATTTGTTATGTATATGTTACTGCTGATACGTATATAATCTATTGGCAGTTCAAAGTTAACAGATTACATTCTGGTTACACAGTGCTGGTCCACACTATAAAGATTATTCAAGAAAAGTTTATAAAGCTCTATTTTATTAAATACGTATATCAAAGATTGTTTAGCAAAATTAAATTTTAGTAAAAAATACAAATAATCTAAAATACATTTTTTAAAATATTTTCAATCTCCGTTTTGTGCCATTGCGAAACACCAACTGCTGGTGCAGCACTTGGTGGTCTCCCAATATATTTTAACTATATAAAAAATAAATTGAAGTTAGCTTTTTTTATCGAAAATAAAAAAAAATAAATATGATTTACACAATAATTACCTTTTGTTCAGATGGTAATAGCTGCTTTAATCTTGGCTCAATAAATGTATAGGCGCCATTATTTTGTGGTTCTTCTTGACACCAAATAAACTCTATTTTTTGTAAAATTTTTAAGTCTAGAACTAATATTGTATGAACAATAAAACATTGTAAATAAAATTTTAAACACCTTTAGCGTTTGTATACTTTTTCAATTCTTTTTCAACGTCAGATTTTGGAAATGGGCACAACTCCTATAAATATAAACAAAACTTATTAAGAGAATTATTTTTTTTTAAATTACTAATAGCAATGTTATTTTCCTTAGTTGACCAGTAAATAAAATACCTCAAATCTAATAATAGCAATTTTATCTTCAAGTTTTTTACTCTGCCTCACTTTGACTAAATCATAATAAAGTTTTCCCGATACGAATATAATTTTTTCAACACTTCAATTACAACAATCAACAAACCAGATTTAGATATATTACAACAATTAATTTTTAATTAGATATAAATAAAATTAAAATAAATTCAACTTACTTATCATCATTAACGGATTTATCTTCAATAATAGGCAAAAACGTATTCTCATGCAACATATCTTCAAAATCGGATACTGCATTCTATATTTACAAAAGTATTGGCTTAATTTTAAACTAACAGTTAATAAATAAGTAAACAAAGCTTACGGGTGATTTTAGTAATATTTTTGGTGTAGCTATTATTAATGGTTTTCTAAAATTTCTTTTCATCTACGTATATTGATATATTAAATATTGTTATCACCTATATTTATAAAAAGATAAGTGAAAATATTATACGGTACCTGTCTTCTTAAAACATGAAAATATTGTGCAGGAGTTGTCGGGTTCACAATATGCATATTTGGATTGTTTGGTATACTCTCATCTAAGATGTCAAACTTATCATTTGTTAACTATAGTAATAATTATAAAATGATAAGACTTTAGTGCATTATTATTTTTTTTTTTACAAAAGAAAAGAAAAAATAAGTAAAGTGCTTGCCTGCAAGAATCTTTCAATTCTACAACTAGAATGCTCAGGTCCTGCACCATCGTAACCATGTGGCAAAAGCATCACAAGCCCAGATTGTCTTAACCACTTTACTGAAAAAATATATATGTGTTACTGTAATTGAAACAATAAATTTCTTTATCATTTCTTTTTAAAAAACATACCTTCACCACTAGAAACATAAGTATCAATAACAACTTGAGCTCCATTAAAAAAGTCCCCAAATTGAGCTTCCCAGATAACAAGATTGTGTGGAGATTCACATGACATTCCGTACTCAAATCCTACAACAGCTAGTTCACTTAGGGGACTATTCACAATCTATTTAATTAAAAATAACCTAGCATTATATAAATACTATTATAACTAACTAATTAAAAAACGAGTATTGATTTAAAACATGCCTCAAGCATTCCTTGATTAGGTGCCAAATTATTCAAAGGTACAACAACTTTTTCTGTATTCTGACATACAATCATTGCATGACGTTGACTAAAAGTTCCTCGACCAACATCTTGACCACATAATCTTACATTATGCCCCTCTATCATTAATGATCCAAGTGCTAATGCCTATTTTCAATATTAAAAAAAAATTATACAGTAGTTATACAATGGAGGTACTAAGAATGAATAGTATTATTAGAAAAAAACTATGCAAATAAAAAAAAAATTTCAAACCTCTGCAGTAGCCCAGTCAATATTCTTTCCTTCAGTAATTTTCTGCAATCTTGACTGTATATGAAATTTTTTTAATTTCGAATGAACTGACTGTTAATTATTAGAATTTAAATTACTATATATATATATGGATAGATTATTATAAATAAATATTTGAATAATATACAATCTCATGAGGTATATTAACAGATGTCTTTCCAATATTTTCTAAAGTTTCTCTTGAAATACCTATAACACGTATACAGATAGATATATATATATATAACAAATTTTAGATTATTTACCATTCAAATATATTTTTTTTGTTAAATAATACATATTACGTACCTGTATCCATTTTAGTAACAGTTTCAGTTGGCATTATAAATCCATCCCATTTCTTTTTTAACATATCTGCCTAAATTTTATGGACAAGAACTAAACTAAACCCGCTCATTAACTAAATTAAAAAAAAAATACAATAAATAATCTACAAATAATATACCTCTGGCTTATATGTATCACTCTTTTTATAATATTCATCCAAAGTATTAAAATAATTCTTTCTAAATTCTGAAATATCATTATCTGAAAGAATTGATTCTTCCGTCTACATTATTTCATTAAAATTCATTAATAATAATGATGACTTTATTTCTATATTATTATTATAAAAATATACTGTATTACCAATAGCTTTTCTTCATATAACTTTGGTACACTCTTTCTTGACCTTATAA